GCTATAGGGAGACCCTGCCTTAAAAAGATAAAAAACAAAACAATACTTGGGGGGCGGAGGACAGCTGGAGACATGGCTCAGTGGTTAAGAGCACTGACTGCTCCTCCAGAGGACCTGGGTTCAATTCCCAGCACCCACATGGTGGCTAACTACCATCTGTACCTCCAATTCCAAGGGATCTGACTCCCTCTTCTGATCTCTGCAGGCACTGCATGACACGGATGCATCTACCTACATGCAGACAAACATGCATACACATAAAATAAAAATAATAAAACCCAACTGTTCAAGTTTTTAAAAACCCAACTGTTCTAGTTTGTTTCTCCATTGCTGTGACAAAACACTGACCAATACCAACTTAGAGAAGAAAGGGTTTATTTATCTTACATCTCTCAGGTCACAGTTCATCCGGGAGCCCAAGGTAGGAACTCAGGGCAGGAACCTGGAGGCAGGAGCTGGAGCACAGGCCATGGAGGAACGCTGCTTACTGGCTTGCTCTCCTGGCCCCTGCTCAGCCTGGCAGAGCCCAGCCCACTGTGGGTGGTCCCACCCCTGGGCAGGTGGGCCTATATTGCATAAGAAAGCAGGCTGTGTGGTGGTATACACCTTTAATCCCAGCACTGGGAGGCAGAGGCAGGGAATCTGAGTTCAAGGCCAGTCTGATCAACACAGCTAGTGAGTTTCAGGCTACTCAGGGATAGATAGAATGTTTCAAAGAAAAAAAAATAGCCTATACTCACAGTCAATGGCATGGAAATCAGGTCAAGAGCCCACACCCTAGAGGTAAGATGTTGGAGTGGGGTAAGCAATGGTCCCCCAAAACACCAACTTGGGGAAGCTGGGGACACATACAGGAAAAGACAGGGCTGGTGAACAATGGGCAGGAAGGCCTCCTACCGAGTAGGGCTTTGGGAGTTTATCAGGGTGTGTACCCTCTCTTTTTCTGTCCAGGATAAGATGATGACCAACTGACCTTGATCTCCTGGGGCTAATTATAAACATTCCTTTTTTGAAAGTTAAGTCTTCCAGCCCTTTTTACACTTTATAGTTCTGTGGGTTGATGAATAGAATTAAGTGAAATTCCTTCCTTAAGGTTATTAGGCTCCACTGTTCTGTGAATCTAAAACATTCTTTAGCAGTTAACATCTTTTTTTTAAAATATTTTATTTACTTTTGTTTTTGGTTTGTTTTTTTTTTAATATTTTATTTACTTTTGTTTTTGGTTTGGTTTTTTTTTTTTGGTCTTTTTGAGATAGGGTCTCTCTCCCTGTAGCCCCAGCTGTCCTGGAACTCACTATGTAGACCAGCCTCCTTAAACTCACAGCCACCATGCCCGGCTACTATTTTTATTTTATGTGTATGTGTGAATTGCCTGAACGGAAGTAAGTGTACCCATGTCGTGCAATGCCTGAGGAGGTCAGAAGAGGCTGTTGGATCCCCTGGGACTAGAGTTACAGACAGTAGTTACCTGCCATGTGGGTGCTGGGACTCAAACCCAGGTCTTCTGCAAGAACAACCAGTGTTCTTAACCACTAAGTCATCTCTCCAGCCCCAGCAGCAGTTAACATCTTAATCATTTAGGTGTGGCGGTTCATACCTCTAATCTCAGCACTTGAGGCAGACTTGATACAAGTTTGATATGAGCCTGGTCTGCCTATCCAGGTCCTAAGGCTCAGAATGTTGAGTAAAGGAAAGAGGCAAAAATAGTCTGGCTAGGGTCTGGAGAGCTGACTCAGTGGTTAAGAGCACTGACTGCTCTTTCTTGCAGAGGACCCGGGTTCGATTCCCAGCACCCACATGGAGGCTATGAACTGCCCTTAACTCCAGTTCCAGGGGAATCCAAAGCCCTCTTCTGACCTCTGTGGCATTGCATGACACAGACGCATGCACATACATGCAGACAATACACTCATACACATAAAATAAAAATAAAATATTGAAGAAGATAAAAAAAAAAGTCTGGCTAAGGCCTGGAGCTACAGATCTGAACTGGATGGTCACACTGCTGGGGGCCTTAGAGGGAATGGCCAGGCCCTCAGCCCCAGTCTCCATTTTTCCCTGGAAGCCCATTTGCCAGCAGGGCCTGCTAGGAAGCTTGCTAGGGCTGACACACCATTGCTTGGGCTCTTCCATACCTCTCTTCCTGGATGGTCATCCACAACCTTGGTAACAAACTCCATAATAAATTCAGAAAACTGAGTTTCCTAGAGCTCCATGAGCCCTCAGAGCCAATTTTTACTATTATTTCATTTTTAATCTATATGAGTAGTTTGCCTAAATGGATGATAACTGCACTACATGTGTGCAATGCCCATGGAGGCCAGAAGAGGGCATTAGATCCCTTGGAACCAGAATTACAGGTGGTCGTTGACCACCATGTAGATGCTGGAAACTGAGCCCTGGTCTTCTGGAAGAGTTGGTGCTCTTAACTACTGTGTCATCTTTCCAGTTCCAGAGCCAATTATTTTAAAAACTATATTTATCAGGGCTAGAGAGTTGGCTCAGTAGCTAAGAACACTGGCTGCTCTTACAGAGGACCTGGGCTTGATTCCCAGCACCCACATGTTGGCTAACTCCAGTTCCAGGGGACCTGATGCCCTCTTCTGACCTCCAAGGGCATCACATGACACAGGTGCACTTATACACATGCAGGCAATACACTCATAAACATAAAATATATATATTTTTTGGGGTTTTTTTTTGAGACAGGGTCTCCTTGTAGCCCCAGCTGTCCTGGACCTCACTATGTAGACCAGGCTGGCCTTAAACTCACAGAGATCTGCCTGCCTCTGCCTCCCGAGTGCTAGGATTAAAGGCGTGCACCACCAGGCCCAGTGGGAGCACCCTTTTTAAAGTTTATTTTTATTTTATGTGTATGAGTGCATTGCCTACATATGTGTAAGTGCACCTGGGAAAAGTTGTTACCTCAGGTCTGGGGCTGGGGGACACGGGACGGGACAGGGGGGTTTGTAGCCCTGGAATTCCTCATTCCTTCGAAAAGCACGGGCCACACAGGGCATCCTGGGAAAAGGGCTGGGGCCGAGGCCATATTGGAACTCAGGGGAGTAAAGCGAGCAACTGGCCAAGGAGTGTGGGGGAGCCTGGGGAACATGGGGGAAAGCAGAGAGAGACTGGGGGTGGGGGAGATGGCACCTGCATTTCAAATATGGAAAAGGAAAACCCTGTAAGAATGTTTTTGTAAGTCACCCCCTTCCAAATATCATATAAACTATGCAAAAATCTAAATAGGATGCCTTATGTCGGTCTATCAGCCCTGGGGCCTCAGGGGGTGGGAATGAGTCTCCCAAGAAGGGGGAGGGGAAAATAATTTAGTGGAACAGGCTCACTGGCATTTGTGTAGGTACTTCCCTGGCTTTGCACCAGGGTGGCAGAGTTGGAGGTGCAGAGTGGGGCCTACGATTTAGCTGACTTTCCATACCCCGGGCTGCAGTCAGGCCCTTAGTTCCACTCTCTCTGGAAGCCCAGAAGTGGCCACAGGTCACAGGTGGCAGTTCACATGACGGGCACAGCTCCTGGGGTTCCTGGCCAAGGATAGGCAGGCACTTGCCGGCTGCTATATGAGGTTAGGAGTCAGGGAACCTCACCAGCCAATCACCATGGCAACACCCTCGCACAGAAAACCACATTCCAAGGATCAGCCTGCACAAGACTGTTACACAGAATGTACACCAAGAGATCAAGAAGGCGTTTGACAGACGTTTATTGAGCACCTATGTGCTAGGCCCTATGTAGGGCACTTGAAAAATGAAGTCAATGCAACCTGGTCACTGCCCAAAGAGTTCACTTCACACACTGGGACAAGGGAGGCCCACCCAACAGCAAAGGAGCATTTTCATCACAATTTTACAAGAGTTTTACATAAGTTTTCTCACGTTAATACCTTGCGAAAGCCATTATGTCTTAAAAGCATACTGGCATAAACGTAAACAGTCACACCACTGTAAGGACAGAAAGAAAGCCACCTGCAATACCCACAGGGATGCTTTCAGAGACCATCAACATTATTAGGGGGAATACAAGCTTTGCCAATCTGCACAAACCGGTGGAGCCTCGAGAATCCTATGGTCCACCTGTTGTCACGCAGTAGCTGGTGTACACTCGCTACAAAGCACCCTGAACCCTTGACTGTCGCCTCAGTTCCATCTTCCCTCCCCAGGACAAGGACCCTACATTCTTGGGTTCCTCCTGAGTTTGTCAGACAGGGCAATAAAAGGGCCACATCCCCAAAGCACACTGTAAGATCCCACATCCCTGGTCTGGGTAACAACAGCTAGCCGGCCCTCAGCACACCCTGATCCATTCTATTGAGCCAGCCTCCTTGCCTGTAACTGAATCAGGAGCAGAAAGGCAGGTGGCAGTGTGGGGTCGCCTGCCAGAGCATCTGAACAGGACAGAGGAACCTGGGATTTGAAAGCAAGCAACCCAAGACCTCAATCTCACTCCAGCAGCAAGAGCCTGAAGTGTGGGCCTCTGCCAGGCTGGTTCAGGTCTAGAATATGTAGACCCAAGCTAGGAGGTCCACCTCGTCATCCCCACAAGGCTTGGGTTAAAGCCAGGGGTGGGGATACCATAGTAGAAGGTGTAGGCCTGCAAGGCTGAAGAGGGCAGGGCTGTGCCACCTCCCCATCACAGGGGAGGTGACTATCTGCAGGCTGGCTGGGACCAGATCCCTTTACAGAGGCCTCAGCTCTCAGTTCCTCAGGTGAGTACCATAGCCGCTACGGTGGCCTTGGCTGGATGGACAGAGGCCTTGCAGGAGACTCAGAAGTTACATAGCAAACAGAATGTGGTAAGGGGGAGGGGGAGGGGTGGTCTCAGTGACTGACACTAAGAATAGGCCCAAAGACTCAAGTCCTGCCCTGGGGCTCACTCCAACCTCTCCTGAGATGTCCTGGCTCCCACTAGGACTGGTTTCCAGTTCTTCTGCCCCTCTAAGCTGGCTCTTAGTGTCCTTCCCCCAATGACAGCCCAGACATAAGTCTTAAAAAAAAATAATTTATTGTCAACAAAGGCAATATATACAAAGGACAATGGATGCACAGGACAACGGGTGAGGGGCAGAGTGAGGGAGTTCTTGGCAGGGACAAGGCAGGAGGAGGTAATGGAGGCCTCCTGTTGTAGGAGCCAGAACAAGTGGGGGAGGAGAGGCATCCCCCCGAGGTAGTGGGACTCAGTTCAAACCCCGTCATGACCACCTCTGCGTAAGGCACTGTGCCAGGGGAGAATGGTAGGGAGCTGAGAGGGAGGAGGTGTGGGGTCAGAGGGTGGGTCAGTGAAGGATTGGGGAAGGTGTTCTCCACAGGCCCAACGCAGCACCACCCAACAGCCTCAGCCACTTCTGTCTACCTCAGGGCCTGGCCTTGTGTTTGGCCAAGGGGCATTTTCTAGTGTCCCAAAGTGACAGTGATGTTGCCCCTCCCCTCAATCCTGCCTGGCACCTGGTTTTAAAACTCCCCATGGGGTGGCTAAGTCAGTCAGTTCTGAGTGTTAAGCCAAAGGGGGACAGTGCCTCCTCCCTCCCACCCTTCCTCCCACCCTTCCCACCCTCCCTTCCTCCCAGAAAAGCCAACACTTACAACCCACTTTCTGCCTCTGGTAGTCCCCTAACGGTGGCACTGGATTCTGAAAGAACTCTGGGCCAGTTTGGGTTGTCACCTGCTCCCACCCTCTTGGTGCCCTGGGGGGGCTTGGACCAGTCCTGCAAGAGGCTGACTGCAGGGGGTTCCTCCATCCGCACACGGATAACCTGAAGATCCAGTGTCCCACGAAGCCCCGGAGGGGGAGCTGGGAAAGGATGGGAACAGAAAGCACAATCAGGGCCTCCCAGAGACCTTGAGGTCCCTACAGCTGCAAATCAAACCACACTGCCAGGGCCTTCCTCATTTCTACAGCACAGTGTCTGGTCCCAAAGGAAGCCCAAGGAGAAGAGGCTCACTCAGGCACTGGACAGATAGGGCATGAAGTCTCCTGTGTACCTGGCATGTGGATTCACAGTGCCATGTTCCTCTCCCCAACTCCTACCCTTCAGGGTGCCACACAGTGGTAATACCATAGGAAACACTCAAAGCAGGCAGTGTACAGCATGGCTTTGGCCCCATGGCACACGTAGGTGATGAGGCAGAGCACAGCACCTGGGCGCCTGGGTAGTTAGCACCCCTGCTTTGCTCTGCAACTTCATGCAAATGGGATCCCAGGAGAGCTGATGGCTGTTACATGATCTGGTGTCTTAGCCGCATGGGAAGCTACCAAGAAGGGCAAAGCACAGGGGCCCATGTGAACTACGTTACATTACTGCTTCTAGTGTCAACTTGACCCATTTGGGAAGAGGGAACCTCACCTAGGGAATTTCCTTTATCAGACTGGTCTGCGGGGTATTGGTGACGCATTTTCTCATTGGTGTTCTCATAACCTAAACTGCACGAGGACAGTGAATCCCTTTCATCCGCTCTTGAACTCCCAAGGCTGCTTTCTTGGAATTTGCATTCTAGTGCTGACAGCCAATGACAAGGACAACTCAACGCACTTCATCATGCATGGATGGAAGCAGAGCTGAGAAGCAGAAGGGAAAGGAGCTGGGGCAGCAACTGACTGAGCAAAGATAAACCCAACAGGGCGCCAGCTACATAGCTAGCAGTGGGAATGGCATCTCCGGTACAGGGAAGAGCAAATGCAGATGATCTAGGGAGCACACTGGGGAGCACTCTGCCTGCACAGTGAGGGGAGCAGTGGGAAGGGTCAGGAATCTGGCAAGGACCTGCCATTTCCATGTGGGAGACCATGGCTTTTAACCTGGAGGGTTCTAAGCAATGATGAAATCTAACTCGTGGCAGGTGACAGTGTGAACTTAGGTTTACAGATGGACTGATGTGAGGCTGAGAGACAAACAGGTAACAGGTCTGGCGACAGCGAAGCAATGAGTACCAGTTTTCTGGGAAAAGGGAGGTTGAAGTGGGGTATGGGAACTCTCTCAGAGTGGAGGATTCAGCCTGGATGGTCAGTATGAACTAGCCTTTGTTTTTAGAGACAGGATCTCATACATAGTCCAAGTTGGCCCTGAACTCATTATCCTCTTGCCTCAGTCTTCCCAGTGCTGGGATTACAGGCATTTGCCAACATGCCCAGCTGAGATCTTTCAGTCAACCAAGTAGGGGTCACCTGGGCACCAGGAGAGAGGCTGAAACCAAAGGGAGAAGGGCCAGACTTAGAGTGAAGGTGGGTTGCAACCACACATATGGTATCTAGAACTGTGAGCCCAGATGACTCCCCAGACCTGTCAACAGTGCCTGTCCTGTAGCAGGAACTGTTCTGACCAGAGGGGCCATCACAGGGCACAAAGCAACCATCTCCCCTTGGAAATGCTGAGAAGATGCTTACATTCGAGAATGAGGAAGGCAGACAGAAGTATCAAGTGCTAAACTGTGGGCACCAAGAATGTGTAAGCAAAAGTCAGGAGTGGTGGAACACATACACCTGTAATCTCTGTGCTGGGAAAACAGAGAGGATGTCCAGGGCTACACAGACCTTCCAGACCAGCTCCAAGATGGGGGAGGGAGAAGCCAGCACGTGACTGTGGGAAGGCCAAGGGAGGAAAGCTGTGAAAGCCGGTTACTATTACCACCAGACCAAGAAAGAGAAGGACCTGGTCTTCATCTAAACAAGCAACAAAGAGAAGGCTGAAGCGGTGACCCTCACTGCAGAGAGACCGTCACGTCACACCAGCCTGAGCACTGGCTTTCATGTTATGATACCAGCAATGGAGAAGAGTTAACCTCTGCTCAGGCACTTTAAGCTTCGCACATGCCAGGCCAGTGCTCTACACTAGTAACCCTAGCTCCCAGCCCTCCTCTTCTGGTTTTTCTTCTTTGGTTTTTTTGAGATACAAGTGTCACCAAATGTAGCCCTGGCTAGCCTGGAACTTGCCATGTAGACTAGACTGGCGTCAAACTCACAGAAATCTGCCTGCCTCTGCCTCCTGAGTGCCGGGATTGAGACTACCACCACACCTGGCATCTTAACTCAGGTTGTCGGGTGCTTTTATGCAGGCAGCCCTCATTTTGTTTTTGAGGAGTAATCTAGCTATGTTGCCCAGGCTGGCACTACAGGCATGGACTATAAAGGCAGGCTGCTTCCCCTTTTCAAAATGGAACACTATTCCCACACTCCAATGAACGAGTACACTAGGAAAGGTTCAACAGAGTAAGGGTCAGAAGACAGGGACTCAAGCCAGCTGAACTAAGTGCCAATTCTTCTTGGTAACAAGGGGACAGAGGTTTACACAGGTGGGGATAAAATGTTAGGAGAGAGAAGCCTGAGAAGTGACAGAGGCAGAATAGAGTCCCAAGGCTCAAAAAAAGCAAGCTGGGAGCTGGTGGGACAGTTCAGCTGATAAAGGCACTTGCCACCAAGTCCAATGACCCAAGTTCAAACCTGGGACCCACATGGTAGGAGAGAACCTGTTCCCACAGATTGTCCTGACTTCCACTCCAGCACCACAGCATGTACTCTCTCCAACAGATAAAAAGGCTGTGCCAAGAGGATGACCAGTCCCTTTCACACTTGAGCCCTAGAACAGACTTCCTGTGTCCTGTTCCCACTTCCACTTCGCACCCTCTCAGGCTCCCTTCCACTAACTGGTTCACTTGCATTTGCACTCATCCTCCTGCAGAGGCTGGACTGGACATGTTCCTTTCGGTTCTCATTAAAGCCAAGCCCTATAGAGGGGCCTTGGAAATGTCACAGCACCTAAATGACAAGGGCAGAGTTCTCTTAGCTAGGCACTGCCCTAGGTACTGAGGACACACAGTAAACCAAGCTGAACACCCATACGGGGCTCACACTCGCCTATGTAGGTGTGCTCATGTTCTTCCACCCAATTCCCTCTCAGTTCAGCCTGAAACACCCTGGCTGTGGCTGGGGCATGCTGACCAACTTCCCAGTCCTATTCAAAAAGAGCCTTTTAGCCAGGTGTGATGATGTATGTCTATAATCCCATGACTTAGAAAGTGGAGATAGGAAGATCAGGAGTTCAAGATTGGCCTTGGCTACATAGCGAGTTTGAGGCCAGCTAGGTTACATGAGATCCTGTTTTGTTTTGTTTTTTTTAAAAAAAAAACAAACAAAAAACATAAAGGAAGCCAGGCATGGTATGGTGGCTCAGCCATATTCCCCCAAGTCAATACTTGGGAGACAGAACAGGGTGGAGTGAGTTCCAGGCCAACCAGGGCTGCATAGTGAGACTGCTTCTGACAGCAAAACCGAAACAACCCAATGAAAACAACATGACTTGCTGCTAGACCATCCTCATGGCTCTCCTGGTTGGGATACCCTCCTCTTATCCCCAATGCTGTAAGCAAGGTCCAGAAAGTTTTCCCTGCCTGCTCTACAGGCATATCCATCAGCTGAACTAAACTGACCACAGTGAATTTTCCCAGCTCATTTCCATGCTTTTTAATTATTTTATAAAACAGGGTCTCAGCTAGGCACTTGGGAGGCAGAGGGGTTCAAGGCCAGCCTGGTCTACATAGTGAGTTCCAAGCCAGCTGGGGCTACAGGGAAACCCTGTCTCAAAAAGACCAAAAACAAAACAAAACAAAACAGGGTCTCACTGTATAGTGGCTTGGAACTCATTAGGGAGACCAGGCTGGTTTTGAACCTATGGAGATTCACCTTCCTCTTCCTCCCAAGTGCTGAGATTAAAGGCATGCACCACCACACTGGGCCTATTTCCATGATTTTTAAGCTGTTTTTTCTTTCCACAGAGGTAGGAGCTTCACTCAGAATCTCCAGAGAATTTCAATTACACCACACACAGAAAGGGAGGCACCTTAGTTGAAGCCTCACAGCTTTCTGAGAAATCTTGTCAAAGCTCTGGGTTCCTGGAACAGCTGAAACCAGCAAAGGCTCTGCCACCTCACGGTTCCGCACACCACGCCAGTGTGAAAAGCACGCTGCTGGCTCCCCTGTCCCATCCCTCTCCCATTGGTCTCCTGTGGTATCCCGTCCCTCTACTCACCCCATACAAGCTCTCCTCAACTCACTACCCCAGACAGGTAGTTTGGGCACAGGACACCCCAGGACTCGAAACAAAGGCTCTCTTCAAGCACGAAGCTAGAAGATCCATTCAACAGTGGAGGAGCAGTCATGTAGGGAGATCCATGGGTGAGCCAGGAGACCCAGAATCCATGCAAGTCCAAGCAGGACATGTGGGCCAGGGGAGTGGCACTGGAATGCGATTCAAGCTGATGCTTGACAGTTAAAACCATGATCCAAGTGTAGGGGTGAGGCCTGTCTCAAGGGGAGAGAAGAGGGCCATTTTGGTAATAAAGCACTTGGTGTACTCCTCCACAGAGCTGTGAAAAGGAGGGAAGACACGACCAAGCCACTAGAGTGGGCACCACCGGAACCTGCAAGAGAGGTGACACCTTTGCTTTTCTCTTTAACTCTGCAAGCCCTGTGCCAAGCAACCTGCAGCCACCTCTCTCTCTTCCTCTGTACTCCAGCTCCAAAAGCACATTAATACATATTTCCAGCCCTGTGGGGGAAGGACCTAGGCATTCCCTGGGAATACACTCACCCCTTCACAAAGCAGTTCCTTAGCCTGAGATGCTGTGGTCTGAGTTCAACAAGAGGGAAGAAACCAGGCTCAGCCTTTGCTACCCTGTGGTTACAGGAACTATGGTGGCAGAATGACGGCCCTAAGATGTCCAAGATAGAATCCACAGCAAGGGGAAATGAACCCATTTTATAATGGGATTAAGACTGCTAATCAGCCAATTACTAGACACTCGCTAGATGGGTCTTTTGCGTGTGCAAGAGGCCCTATGTTCCATCCCCAGCACTGCATACATGCTTAAGAATAAACTGATAGATATTTTAACTAATCTCACAGAGTATAACAATCCCAAGGGTCCCTAAACAAGAAGCGAGATTGAGGCAGGATGAGTCTGTACAGAAGATGGCATCCTAGGAACCTCTGCAGGGCACTGCCAGCTTTGAGAATGTTAGACCACAAGCCAAGGAATGTGGATGACTTCTAGAACAAGAAAGGTGAAAACAGAGTACCCCCTAGAACTTCTAGAAATCTAGAAAAGGAACACTACCCTGGCAACACCTTGAGCTTAGCTCAGGGAGACTCACTTCAGACCACTGAACTCCAGAACGGGAAAGTCAATGTGCTGCTTTAAGCCACAAGGTTCATTATGTACCTGTTAACAGTAGCAAACAGGAAATTCACACAGGGACCACCAGGAAGGAGAAGCATTGCTTGAAGACCTGGCTTCTCCACATCCAACAGGGGATGGCTACCTTTCTAAGTTTGCCTTTTTGGTCTTATTTTTGAGACAGGGTGGCCCTGAGCCTATGATTCCCTTGGTTCAATAGCCTAAGTGCTGAGATTATACCTTAAAAAGTTTTCATTATATACTATATATATTAATATGTATCATATATATATATTATATACATGTGGTGTTATATGGCAGTTAGAGGATGTTTAGGAGTTGGTTTTCCCCTTTTACCATGTGGGGCCCCAGAGATCAAATTTAGGTCCTCACACTGAGCAGCAAATGCCTTTACCCGATGAGCCTTTACAACACCATGACAACCCGGCACATCCAGATCTACAGTTTCTGGTTTTTTTAAATGAAAGGTTCTCACTGGGTAACCCAGGCTGACCTCCAACCTGTGGTAATCCTCCTACTTCCATCTTCCAACTGCTGGGATTATAGGCATGGGCCTTCATGCTCAGCTTAAGGTTAATTTCATAAAGAACAAATGAACTGCCAATCAGTGGGACAGAATGCAAATAAGCAGGCTGTCATCAGTAGCTCATGGAGCTGGTTGGACCACAGACTGTCTACTCACCACCTGTCCACGATCTCCACCTGTTTAAACTGCTGAGCATTTCACTTGGGTCCTGCATCCATCCCCCCAGGGTAAAGTGAGCTCCGCTCCAGTTGCAGCTAGAATCAGCCTCACGGGTACAGTTGAGTGCCAAGCTTTGGAGTCACCAGCCTAGCCCAATCTAGTGACCACCTCCAAGAAACTGCTAATGACAGATATGCTTAGCTCAGGGGTCAGCCTCCTCAGCACTGAAATCCCTCTGCCCTTAGGCATCTCCTGGGGCCTGAGTACCAAGCAATTCTAGCTATGATCCAGGGACCCAGCTTCCCTTGCTGGCTCCTCCTGGGAGGGCTCACCTGAAGAGGGGCTTTCTGACTGGGGTAGGCCTTCCGCTGCTGCTTTGCCATCTTTTGAAGAGTCCTTGCTATCTGCAGCCCTGAGCTGTGTGTGAGAGAAGAGCTGGAGGACGAAGCCAGGAGGGAAGCTGCCATCAGTGAAGTGTCGGACCTCTGCTGGTGCTGCAAACGTCTCTGTGGGTGACTCGGGGGTTGGGGGGTCTGGAAGGAAGGCCATGAAGGAACTGTGAGCTGAAGAGGCCAGAACTCAAAGACTGAAGCTCCAAGCCTCAAGTAAGCTGCAGGTGCCCTCTGCCTGTGTAGGCCCAGCACTCCCAGCCTCCCTTACCTGGGTCAGGGTCCAGGTTTTTGGTCATGTGCCTGCTTTTCTTCTTTCTGATGGGCTCTTCCTCAGAGAACTCCTTCCACCTCTGACCACGGGCCTTCTTAGGTCCTGGCTCTGTGACAGGGGGAGCTGCAAAAGGAAAAAACCTTAGAGCTTTTTAAAAGGCCATCAGGCCTGATCCCATTAGTCCAAGGCTCTTGAGAACACTTGCCCACCCCAGCACATAGCAAGGGTCTCCCACTCAGCCCCTGAGCTCCCCTGTTGACTGACCAGGCAGCTCAAGGGGGCGGAGTCCTCTGGGCCGAATCCTCTTAGGGAGGGACGGGTTTTCCTCGGAGTCCAAGAGGACCACGATCTCTGCTGGCATCCTGGCAGGCTCCGGGTTGGAGTTGGGGTCTGGCTGGCCATCCTGGCCTGACTCTGAGGGGGCAAAAGCCCACTGAGCTCCCAGGGCCCCCACAGGCCCCGCTTCTCCCTCGGCCCTCACCCTCACTACCTAGGCTGGGCAGGGACGGCTGGTCAACTTGGCTATCCTGTAGAAGGGCCAGGCCCTCGCTCCAGGCTTCCAGGATGTTGCTTTTCTCAGAGGGACTCAGGTCTAGGGTGTGGGGATGTTGCTCCAGGATGTGTGCACGAGCGGTGTCTGCAGATGGGGACCGGATCTCAGCTCCGCACACCATGCACAGCGTCCGCCCACTGCCTCCTGGGCTGCTGCCCACCAGGAACTCCTGTTCCCACGACACTTCCTGCTTGGGTTCCTCACAGCCTTCACTACTTGCCTCCAGCAGGTTGGGCCTAGGTGGTGGGGTCTTCTCCTGTTGGGTCACTGCAGAAAAAAAAGGAAGGTGTAAAGGTGCCAAGGGCTGGTGATGCTCAGTAACACATCTGTCCGGAGCAGATGAGGGGATTCCTGCCTGGTGCTCTGCGTTCCCACCAGGCGCTAAGGCACCAGCATGAGGTACAGAGCCCAGGTGCCTGACATCACATTCTCACCCTACATCTCCTCTCATCTAGTCCCGAGTTAGGACTACATGTGCTTCTGAGGCAACCTGGCAGACGCCATTCCTATGAGGCCTCTTGGCTTCCTCACCCAGTCAACTATTCCCATCGAACTCCTGTTCCTCTGACCTCTACTTCCTGAGCGCACATGGCACCATATCTAATTTTTTAAAAATATTTATTGCCAGGCGTGGTGGCGCAAGCCTGTAATCCCAGCACTCGGGAGGCAGAGGCAGGCGGATCTCTGTGAGTTCAAGGCCAGCCTGGTCTACATAGTGAGTTCCAGGCCCACTGGGGCTACAAGGAGACCCTGTCTCAAAAAGACACCCCCCCCCAAAAAAATTTATTTTTATTTTCTTAAAATTGTATTTATTATTTTTACTTTATGAGTGTATTGTCTGCATGTATGTAAGTGCACCCAAGTTGTGCAATGCCACAGAGGTCAGAAGAGGGCTTCTGATTCCCCTGGAACTGGAGTTAAGAACGTAGCTGCCATGTGGGTGCTGGGAACTGAATCCCGGTCCTCTGCAAGAGCAGTTAGTGTTCTTAACCACTGAGCCATCTCTCCAGCCCCTATTATTTTCATTTTATGTGTATGAGTGTATTGCCTGCATGTATGTGAGTGCAAGGTGCACCCATGTCATGCAATGCTGCCAAGGTCAGAAGAGGGCTTCGGATTCCCCTGGAACTGGAGTTAAGAACGTAGCTGCCATGTGGATGCTGGGAATTGAATCCCGGCCCTCTGCAAGAGCAGTTAGTGTTCTTAACCACTGAGTCATCTCTCCAGCCCCACCATATCTGATTTTTGAGGTGCTAGGGATCAAACCCAGGGCTTCATGCACACTAGGCAAGCACTCTACCAACTGAGCTATATCTCATCCCTTTAAATTTTTATTATTATTGTGCATATGCATAATGTGTGTGTATGGGCACATGTGCACATGAAGGTGTAAGGACAACTTTATGGAGTCAGTTCTCCTGTTCCATCTTTACATGGGTTTTAGGGATGGAACTCAGGTCTCCAGGCTTGTGCAGCACCAGGTGTCTTTACCTGCTTGTTAATGGCCCCCCCAACTTTTTAAGATTCAGAAGTATTGAATACCTTGGAGCTGGAGTTACAGGCAACTGTGCCCTGCCATGTGGGTGCTGGGAACCAAATATAAGTCCTTTTTAAGAGCAGTAAATGTTCTGTTCTTCCTCAAGATTTCTTTTTATGTGTATGGGTGTTTACCTGTGCGTGTGTGTGTGTACCCTATGGGGTACCTAGTGCCCTGATGAACCAGAAACGTAACCTGTTTTAGATCCTGTGGGACTGGTTACACAGTTGTGATTACAGATGGTTGTGAGCTACTATATGGGCGATGGGAGTTGAACTCAGGTCCTCTGCAAAGCACCAAGTGCTGTTAACTGCTAAGCTATCCCTTTTTGACACAGGTCTCATTAAGTTAGCCCCAGTGGGCCTGAAACTCATTATGTAGACCAGGCTGGTCTTGAACTCACAGAGATCCACCTGCCTCTGCCTCCCAAGTGCTGGGACTACAGGTGTGCACCACCATGCCCGGCTTCCATACCCCATTTTTTGATAAAGTTTCATTCTGTAGCTCTGGTTGGCCCAGAACTTGTTAAGTAGACCAAGCTGGCCTCAAACTTTCAAGGATCCTTTGAGTGCTGAGGTAACAGACTTGAGCCACCATACCCACCCAGCTAATAGTGTTCTCCCCTTGTTCTTCAACCCTCTGTACTGCTTTTCTGTGATACTACAGCATGAACCCAAGATTTTGCACCTGCTAGGCATACAAATTCCCTACCACCAAGATACTTTAAATGTTTTTAAAATTTTGGGGCTGGAGAGATAGCTCAGCAGTTAAGAACACTGGCTGTTCTTGCAGAAGACCTGGGTTCGAATCCCAGCACCCACATGGCAGCTAACAACTGTTCGTAACTCCAGTTCCAGGGGACCCGACAGCCTCTTCTGTCCTCCAGGGGTATTGCACGATACAGGTGCACTTACCTACATGCAGGCAATACACGCATACACATAAAAATAGTAAGCCAGGCGTGGTGGCACATGCCTTTAATCCCAGCACTTGGGAGGCAGAGGCAGGTGGATCTCTGTGAGTTCAAGGCCAGCCTGGTCTACATAGTGAGTTCCAGGACAGCTGGGGCTCCAGGGAGATCCTGTTTCAAAAAGACCAAAAAATAAATAAATAAAATAAAACCACAGACCACTAACAACTGTCTGTAACTCTAGTTCCAGGGGATCTGACGGCCTCTTCTGTCCTCTGTGGGCATTGCACGACATGGTTGCACTTACCTACGTCCAGAAAAATAAATAAATAAAATAAAATATTTTTTTAAAAAAGTTTTTAAGATTTTAGCCAGGCATGGTGGCACACACCTTTGATTCCAGAACTTGGAAGGCAGAGGCAGGCAGATCTCTTTGAGTTCAAGGTTCAAGGTCAGCCTGGTCTACAGGGAGACCCTGTCTCAAAACAACAACAAAAAAAAAAGTTTTTAAAATTTTGACATAGGTTGGGGTTGGAGAGATGGCTGAGCGGTTAAGAAGACTGAGTGTTCTTGCAGAAGACCCAGGTTCAAATCCCAGCACCGACATGGCAGCTAACAACTGTCTATAACTCCAGTCCCAGGGGATCCAACAGCCTCTTCTGACCTCTGTGGGCATTGCAAGACACGGGTGCACTTACCTACATGCAGGCATAACACTCATACATGTAAAATAAAAACAATAAAGTATTAAAAAAAATTTTTTTTGACATAGGGTCTTGCTAAGTTTCTGGATTCGCCTTGAACTTGCAATTCTCCTGCCTGGGCCCCTTGAATAGGTGGTATAGTTATAGGCTTCCACCACAAGACCTGGCTTCATAGTAGATCTAGTTTGCCTTGTGTTGATGCTGCAAACACCATGATCAAACCAACTTGAGGAGGAAAGGGCTTACTTCACCTTACAGGTTACAGCCCATCATGGAGGGAATCCACCACAGGAAAGCAAGGCAAGAGCTTGAAGCAGGAGCCATGGAGGAACCTGCCTGCTGGCATACTCAGCCTAGGCTATCTGCCTATGGATGGTGCCACTCAAAGTAGGCTGGGCCCTCCTACTCCAATCAATCATCAATCAAGACACTTCTTCACAGACACATCCACAGGAAAGATAGACAACTCAATTGAGGTTTCCTTTTCCTGGGTGATTCTAGTTTGTGTCAAGCTGACAAAAAAAAAACCCAGTACAAAGACTGGAGAGATGGCTCTGAAGTGGCTGAGAACACTTGTTGCTCTTGAGGAACCATCACGGTTCAATTCCTAGCAGCTACATATAGGCTAACAACTGCCTGCAACTCCAGTTCCTCTTCTGGCTTCTATGGGCACTGCGTGCACACACATGGTACACTTACATACATGCAGGTAAAACATTCATACACATAAAAGAGACTGGAGAGAGAGTTCAGGAGGTAAGAGCACTGTCTACTCTTGCAGAAGACCCAGGTTCAGTTCCCAGCACCCACACAGCATCCCACAACTGTAACTCCAGTTCCAGGATATCTATTGCCCCCTTCTGATCTCCACAGGCACCAGGTACACATGTACTGCACTTACATATATGCAGGCAAAACACTCATACACATAGTTAAAAACTAATCTGTGACGCCTCTTGCCTTTAAAACCAGAACCTCGGAGTTGGAGAGATGGCTCAGCGGTTAAAAGCACAGACTGCTCTTGCAGAGGACCCGGGTTTGATTCCCAACACTCACATGGCGGGGTAACAACTGTCTGTAACTCCAGTTCCAGGGGATCCAACAGCCTCTTCTGTCTTCCTTGGGCATTGCACAACAGGGGGGCCCTTACTTACATGCAGGCATAACACCCATACACATAAAATAAAAATAATAAAATATTTAGGAAAAACAACTAAAGACTGTCTCATTCTAAAGATCCATGTTTTTTGCTGTAAACTTAATCAATACCTTGATAATGACATAGTCTAATCTCTGGTTCTAAAGTTTCAAACTACATTTTGTAAATTCCAGTTTTCACCAAGAATGAAGGAAGGCCTATCCTAAGGAAAAAGACTCCTTAAACTTTGAGAAAGTATTCTCCAACCCTGTCACAATAATAATATATATATTTTTTGGTACTATTTGAGACAGGGTCTCCCTGTAGCCCCAGCTGGCCTGGAACTCACTTTGTAGACCAGGCTAGCCTCGAGCTCACAAAGATCCACCTGCCTCTGCCTCCCAAGTGCTGGGATTAAAGGCATGTGCCACCATGCCTGCCCTTAATAACTTTTTTAAAAATTCAAACAAAACAAAACAAAACAACCAGATCCATGTGGGAAACTCTTACACACTGCCAAGCTTGAGGTGCAGCCTTGGCCCCCTTAACCCCAACCTCTGTGTGCTGATCCTGGAGAAATACTTCCCAGATCTGCATCAATGATGCCAGTCTCTTAGTAATCACCGTTGATTTTTCATCCCTAGTCAGCATCTATTGTCCTGGTAAAACAAAGGTTCTCTCTTCCACAGATCCTAATTTAAACATATCACATCAATGGCCCTAATATAGTCTTCGCTTTCCTCTGGAATTTCGCAAGCCACGCCTCCATCATCAGCATTTCTCAACAGTCTTATTTTCCAAGATCCCACAACAGTTTATTAGTCTCTGGGCACTTCCAGTACAACAGACCAATGTAGCAAATGCTCCTACAATTGTCCCCACAAAACAACAGTCAGGCTCTTTACAGCAGTACCCCACTTTCCTGGTACCAATTTCTGTACTAGTTTGGTTTCTGTTGCTGTGATAAATACTATGTTCAAAAGCATCTTGGGGGAGGCAAAGATTTATTTCCTCTTATAAGTTATAGCCATTCATTGAAGGCAGGAACACGGCTTGTTTCCTCTGACTAACTCAGCTGCCTTTTTTTGTAAGATAAGGATTTATGGGGCTGGAGAGGTGGCTCAGCAGTTAAGAACAGTGGTTGTTCTTGTAGAAGAGCCAGGTTGGTTCAAATCCCAGCACCCACATAGCAGCTAACAACTGTCTGAAACTCCAGTTCCTGGGGAATCCGAAGCCCTCTTCTGATCTACAACATGGGTACACTTACCTACACGCATACACATTTAAAAAAAATAAATAAAAATTTATATGCACCACCGTGCCTGGTGATTTTAAAAAGGGGGTGGGGGGGCCTGGAGAGATGGCTCAGTGGTTACGAGCACTAACTGCTCTTGCAGAGGACCTGGGTTCGATTCCCAGCACCCACATGGCAGCTACAAACCATCCTTAATTCCAGTTCCAGGAGAATCCAAAGCCCTCTTCTGATCTACTCGGCATTTCATGACACGGGTGCATTCACATACATGCAGGCAATACACTCATACACACTTTAAAAAAAAAAAAAAAAAAAGATATGGATTTATTATATACACAAGTTGTTAGCTACCTTTCTTAGTTCAGGCCCACCTGCCCAGGGATAGTGCTACCTACCCTCTTACATCAATTAGCAATCAAGAAAATGCCCACAGACATGCCTACCAGCCAATCTGATGGAGGCAATTTCTCAGCTAAAGTTCCCTCCACCTGTTGAGGCCCCTTCAAAAGGCCACCCAGTCTCCTTATAACCAGCCCTCCTTTCCACAGTGTTGCCACAGCATTACCAAACGGCTATGCCTATTTTGGGCTGCTCTCTGCACAGCAAGACCAAAAGCTCTCACAGGGCAGGAAGCCTCAGTCCCACATCAACTTAGGAGCTCTTCACCAAAGTGCCTGTGACCCCTCTTCTTCACCAAGAGAGACATGACATGTTCATACCTGGGGGGCTGTAGAAAGAGATAGCATCAGGAAAAGACAGGCTGGGTCCCAGTCTTCCTCCCATGTGACAGGCCCTCTAGTCCAGATCTGTTTTCTTCCCCACTACTACTCCCTTAATCAGCTCTTGTGAAGGTCACCAATAAACCCAACCAACAGCTCAACAGTGTCAACCACCTTTTCCACCTTGACTCTCACTGCTCAAGGCATCCCCAGTGCGGCTTGCCTTTGGCTCTCTACCTTCCCTACTCTTCCTGTCACCTCTGTGGTTCCCTGTCCTTCATCACGTCTTCTCAGACATCTGCTTGACTCTCTCCTCTCACAGGTCACTGCTGAAGACCACCTTCTCACGGCCCCGTAGGAGGCAAACCCCCTCCCCAGTTGAGGGCCCACTTCCTTCTGCAGCATGTTTCCTCCACAGCACAACACAGGCCCACAACTAACGTCTCATGTTTTGTATATGAATCTCCAGCATCAAAAACAGCAACAGAGCCGGGCATGGTGGCACACGCCTTGAATCCCAGCACTTGGGAGGCAGAGGCAGGCGGATCTCTGTGAGTTCAAGGCCAGCCTGGTCTACATAGTGAGTTCCAGGACAGCTGAGGCTACAGGGAGGGAGACCCTGTCTCAAAAAGGCCGAAAAAAAAAAAAAAATGCCAAAAACAGTGATAGGCACTGCACTACAGCATCCAGCATCACCAAGGAGGGACTATCACTACCACAGTACTCCAGACCTCACCCTCCACCTCTTTTCTGTGGGCCCCCTTCTGCTAAGTTTCGCCCATTGCCTATCTACTGATAACCGTATTTTATTATTTGGGTGGTGCTGTTATCAAATCTAGCACATAGGCTACCAATGAGTTCTATTGCCAGCTTTTATACTTTAGACAAAGCCTCACTCAAGTGCCCAAACTGGCCTTGAATTTATAATCCTCCTCTACCAGCCTTCCAAATAGCTCAGATTAGGAGCCTGCTCATCAGCCTGGCAACTAGATTTCTGTATGCAACTACTTAGGTAACCATTCCTCGAGAGTCTGTAAGGCACTGAATTTTGCCATATTCAAACCCTAGCTCCCAACCTCCCCCAAGTCTACACCTTGGCTTGGTCCATCTCAGTAAACTAGTAAGTAACCCTCACACTTGCAGAAAACAAAAATTCATCCTCTTTCTCACACTCCAGATCTTCCCAGGGGCTTGCCTGAGGACCTTTGCACTTCTTCTAATGTCTAAAATATTCTTCATCTATCTATCCCTTACTTCAGGGTCTGTGTCCCCTTACTAGAGATACTTTCCTAAAACTTCTTGGTTTAAACAGAACTCCCCAGCCTCTTTATCCTGCTTTGTAGTTGTTTTCTCAACCGGTGGGGTGGGAGTGGTGGCCTGTGCCTTTAATCTCTGCACTCAGGAATCTCTGTGAAATCAAGGCTACAAACAAAAAAAGAACTGATTGCTGGGCCAGGGAGGTGGCTCAGCTGTTAACGACTCATGCTGCCAAGCCCGATGACCTGAGTTCAATCCCTGGGGCATGCATGGTGAAAGGACCTCCACATGCACACCATGAAGTGTGCACGTGTGTGCGCGCACACACACACACACAAAACTGAGAAAGAGCTCATGGGCACCTCACACACTACACTTGACCTGTTGGCTGCCTTAGGGATATACATGTTCTTTTACTGTCCTCACCACTGTTAACACCCGCAGCCAGAAACAATGCTTGGCATACATCAAGTGCCCAATAAATACAGTTGCATGGATGAAGCTCTGTGGGAGGTCTATTTCCTCCTTTTAGCAGTGAGGAGGCAGCCACCCCGACAGAACAGTGAAGAGCAGAAACTTCATAAAAATCAGCACACCAAGAAAATAACCTGTGTGATGCACTGAACACTGAAAGTAATGTGGCCTTTTTTCCCGAATGTTCTAACCCTTCCATCTCCAAAAAGGATGAGAGGCAGGGCAAAATCACGAGTGGCCTAGTTCTCAATCTCTTTGGGGTTCTAGCCTGCTTAAGAGGTATTTCAAGGTAGGTTATTTGCTTTTCGTGAATATTGTCTTCCATAAAGATGGCTCTTTGTTTTCCTATGGTTTGCAATCTCCAGAGGACTAAAGGAGTTGGAGAAGAGAGGGCAAGTGAAGGGGGAGGGTAGAACAAATATTCGCGGACAGTCGTTCAAATACTCTCTGGTGGCTCACGTCCATATACATGGCTCAGCAGGCGGGAGCCCCAGCGAGCCCCGCTTTCCCAAACCCGATGCCTCATGCAATTCCATTCAATTGCTTGTTTTAGAACTGACACCTGTGGCTCCAGCCGGAGGCCTGGGGATCGGGGCGGGCAAGGCCTCCTGCAGGCAGGGCTCTTAAAAAAAATCCTCCTCCTTGGAGGTCGCCGGCCTTCACCCTCCGTAACCATAACGGCGACCAGCCTGGGCCTAGAGGCCTGGCCGCCCCTCGGCCTAGGACGCAGCCTGGCCGGGCTCAGGGATCCGGCTGCAGCGCCCGGCTCCGGCGAGGGGGCGCTGGGCACCGGAAAATCCCCGGCGCTCTGGCCGTGGGTGGAAGTCTCCAGACCCGGGGAGGGTGAGGGGAGAAAGGGAAGACGGAGGCGGGGGGACTCCGGGAGGCCTGGGATTCCAGACCCGGGTGGGGGAGGAGCCAGGGCGCGCGCCGGCCGCAGCCCGGAGCGGGAAGCCCGGCCCCGGCGGGGCTGCAGCCGCGGGGACCAGGGCTGGGCCCGGAGGCGCGATGCGGAAGCGAGGTCCCCTCCCACCTCACCTCGGAGCATCGGCTCGGGCCGCGGGATCACGGCCACCACCACGGCCTCCTCCTCGTCCTCGCCCTCTTCGCATTTCAGCGTCACCTCGAAACAGTCGAGCGCCGCGGCGCCCTTGGCTCTCAGGGCCATGGCGCGGCTCAGGGGGGGACCCCGCTGCGGCGCCCCGAAACTCGAGGCTGGGCGCGCAGC